ATGTTAGGAATATTGGGCCTAACTCCACCTAATAAAACCGGCTTATTAGGGGAGGATTGCCCTCACCTTATAAAGTGGATCATTTATATTTTCCCAAACAATGTGGGATTCTAATAATTAAGTCGAGCCACTTTGACACCATCACAAGATGATGTTTTGAGCATTCCTCACCATTCAAAAAGGGAGAATTTCTTTATCCTCCTGTTTTTAGCGCCACGTTTTCATCTTTTATCATCTACTAGAAAGACTCGAGTGAAAACATGAAAATGGGTGGCAATTGAGTTAGCCAATTGAGAAATGTCCAATCATTTCCCAAAAATGGACAAATCTTACCCTCACTAGCTAAGCATTACCTTCTCAATTCCAACATCACAATGGCTTCTAATAATTCTACAAGTCTGCACTAGGAGTGGGCGTGATCTGATTCGATCTGGTTCTAAAGAGAATCGAATCGAATAAAGTACCAATGAGAATCTTGATGAGTCCAAATCTAAGGTCAATTTCTACTCCAACTGCAGCAATTGTAAAATTACCAAATGAATTACTCTCTTAGATATTTGCAGTATAAGCAGAACCAATTATCAAGCTTTCTTGTTCCAAAATCTGTTCTCAACAAAATCTGTTTCTTGGTCTAAGCTTTCTCAACGGCCTTAGCTGTCATCACTACCAGTGTGGACTGATTATTAGATTACGAAGCAGTCGACACCTGAGGAGTGCTCATGTTGTTGAAGTTTCTCCAAGCCCTGATGCTCAATTGCCGCACAAAATTCGAAGGAAATTTGAAAATCAAAGAAGAAATGTGTTGCCATTTATAGCAGAATCGCAACTGCAAATTGAACTCGAGAATAGTGAATGGTTAGAACTTGAGTTATTCTCATATGCAAACGAGAGTACCTTGCCATTGCAATTGGAGGTGGTGATGGGTTTGATTTTGAGGCGAGGTGGTTGTGGTTTTGATTTTGATTTCTCATTTGGTTTCCATTTGACAATTAAGAAGAAGGTAGCAGTCTAGCAGAGGTGGCG